TGTCATGACGTCACAATTTTGACATGTGTCATAATTTGTATACTTGACGTGAAAGAATATTTAATGTACTTTCTAAATATATATGGTTTTATAGGGTTTTATTGTAAAGAATGAGCTTGACAAGCATTTTTGTAATATATACTCATTTTTGGGACAAATAAATACCACCCCCCTTGGTATACAACGGGTTAATCAACTTAAACGGAAGACGCATATTTATGAAAGTTGGCCACTTTAACCTCTGCCATTTTGTGATGCGTAAGGTATATTTTGAGTTGCTGATCTAAATTTAAACTGTTGTTGCTGTACTGCAGTTCGTCTCCGGGCGGTGCATGCACCGTTATCAAATGTTCTCGTTACTCTGTCGCTATTATATGAAAAGGCGAGATTTTATAGACTGAATTTAACTCACACGCTTGGTCGAGCACAGCATATTTATAAATTGTCTGCAACTTGCCTTTTGTTTCATATCACAAAAAGGGATTACAGTTGGAGACCACCAAGTAGAACACTAACCAATGAAAACTGTAGCTGACAACAATGGATTGGTAGCTTCTCGTGACGGCAAGTGAAAACACTGTCGACTCCTCTGTGTAATATACAGTCTTAGAGATTCAGTTCTTGACGGCGAATTATCATAGTTGTAAATCTTCATGTCATGTTCGAAAGTTAAGCTCAGTTCAAAAGTCATTTTGCGACAACTAAACCGAAACCGTTGATCATGGATAAGCATATACAATTAAGGATCGAAACTAGCAAATCGACAAATGACAAAGTTTCCTGAGAGGTTCGAAACACTTCGCACTTTGTTGGGTTTTCAATTTTGTTAAGAACTATTGTTCGTATTCTTCAATGTTACTGGTTTATTTCAGAAAAAAATATCGCTATCAATTGTTCCAAGTGGCCCGCATCCAGAAGTCTCACTGTAAAAGGCTTGGCTTTGGAAAACAGGAGAGCCGTGCGAAGACAGATAAATTTCGTCCAAGGGTGGAGTGAAGCTAAATGGGGAGTACAAATCATGCTTTGATCTGAAAATTCTTCCTGACGACTGACAGATCATTCCTAGTTTTAACTAACAAATCATGCTTCAATCTCGACATCGGTACTGACAAACGACCGATGATTGCAAATTCTAACTGACAAATCATGCTTAGTTGATTGAAATTCAATTAAATTAATTACAAAGGTGTCGTCAAAAAATTTGCCGTCTATATACTAAGACTTTTGGCGGGAAAATTGGAAAACATTTGCACAACGTTTTCCCTGGGAACGTTTTTGACAAACATTTTAAGGGGGTGCCCCCTCTTATTTTTCCCGCCTAAAAATATCAACATATACCATCCTTAACACAAACTGACGAACAATTTTTATACCAATCATTTGAACTTTTTAAAACTAAGATTTTTGAGTCCAGTAAATGTTTGTCTCCTGTGAAATAAAAATAAAAAAACTACGAAAACTTCAATCTAGTCCCAACGTTTGAAACATTTTAGACCTTTCGTCACTTTTAACCAAGATGAAAAATTATAAGGCAATTGAAAAAATGTTCATGGCTTGCTTAGTTATCTTCTAGAAATTACTTCCAGCGAGGTGTTAAAGGTTTAGGTCTGGTTATCAAGCTTCAAAATGTGTAACTATAAATTCTATGGTTTCAGTTAAATATTTTTTTCATTAGAACTTTGTCATTTGCGAATGAAAGCAATAACATTTTACAAGAATCAGACAACTGAAACTGTGGCTTTGAAAAGCAATTGTTGGTAGATTTTTGTCCGCAGCAAAATGATACCGGTAAATTTAAGAAGAATCTGACAATTGAAGCTGCATTCGTCCGTAATAGATATAATTAGTGAGTACAAACGATAGTGATAAATTTTCAAAGAATCAGATCGCTGGAGCAGTAAGTGTTGAAAATCGAAGATGTAATAGTGAATACTTTTAGTAACAATGTCTGCCAGTTGCAGAAGAAAGCAATCGTATTATTTAGAAAAATCAAACAATTAGAGCTACACATTTTTGAAAAGCAACAAATTTGTTCGCGAATATTTTTGGTAACAATGTTTTATGACGAGATTCATGAGACTCTAAAATACCCAACAGGACATAGGTTCTAACATCTGGTAACGTCACGGTGCTTGTGCTAATCAGATTACAAATCTGTCATTACTGCACAATTTTAGGGTGTTTGTGGTGTATGAGCCGTTTAACATTTGACAGAATAATTTAATGCGGTAAATCAAATCACCAACCATATATGGCCTGGTTAAAAACGTTTAAGCAGTTAATGTTACAACCAGAGGCTTCGCTGTATTTGCATCGATCAAAGAACGAGTGGCGCGAACTGGAGCATGGCGGCAAATGCATGTTCTGGACCGTTGCTCGATCCGAGCCAAACTTGATTCGCGGTGTCGAACGAATGGCTTCATAAACCACGAGAGTTCATCGAAAGTGATTCCTTTCCGTTTTCCAAAACAAGTGGAAAAATAGGTCACATTTGGAATAATAGGCAACACTTGAAAAATGGGTCCCATTTGGAGCAATAGGTAACACTTGGAAAAATAGGTCACATTTGGAATAATGGGTCACATTGGAAAAAATGCGTCACATTTGGAAAAATGGGTCATATTTGGAAAAATTCGTCACATTTGGAAAAATGGGTCACATTTGGAAAAATGAGTCACATTTGGAAAAATGGGTCACAATTGGAAAAATGGGTCACACTTGGAAGAAAGGGTCACACTTGGAGTAATAGGTAACACTTCAGAAAATGGGTCACATTTGGAAAAATGAGTCACATTCAAATAGCTCACACTTGGAAATACAAGTGGCAAAATGGGTCACACTTGCAAAAATTAATCACACTTAGAAAAAAGGGTCACATTTGGAAAAATAAGTCACACTTGGGAAAATGGGTCCCATTTGGAAGAAAGGGTCAGACTTATAAAAACAGATCACACTTGATAAATGGGTCACACTTAAAAAAGGGGTCACACTTGGAAAATGGGCCACATTTGGAAAAATCGGTCACACTCAGAAAAGTGGGTCACCCTTGGAACTCTGGGTCATACTTGGAAAAACGGGTCAAACTGGAAAAAAAAAGAGTCACACCTTAAGTCACATTTGGAACAATGGGTCACACTTGGAAAAAAGGCCAAACCCGGAGAAATGGGTCACACTTGGAAAAATGGGTCACACTTGGGAAAATGGGTCATATTTGGAAAAATGGATCACACTTGAATAAAAGGGTCAAACTTGGAAAAAAGGATCACAATTGAAAAAATGAGTCACACTTGGAAAATGGGCCACATTTGGAAAAATAGGTCACACTCAGAAAAGTGGGTTACCCTTGAAACTCTGGGTCATACTTGGAAAAACGGGTCAAACTGGAAAAAAAAAGAGTCACACCTTGAGTCACATTTGGAACAATGGGTCACACTTGGAAAAAAGGTCAAACCCGGAGAAATGGGTCACACTTGGAAAAATGGGTCACACTTGGGAAAATGGGTCATATTTGGAAAAATGGATCACACTTGAAAAAATAGGTCACTGTTGGAAAAAGGGTAACACTTGGGAAAATGAGTCACACTTGGAAAAGTGGGTCACACTTGTGTCGCTCAGACTTGGAAAAAAAGGGGGACACACTTGGAAAATGGGTTACTTGCACCAATAGACTAAATTTGGAAAAATGTGTCACACCTAGAAAAGTGGGTCACACTTGGAAAAACCAGTCACATTTGGATAAAAGAATCACGCTTGGAAAAATAAGTTACACATGGAACAATAGGTAACACTTGGAAAAATGGGTGAAACTTGGAAAAAATGGGTCACTCTTAAAAAATGAGTCACTCAAAAAATGAGTCACATTTGGAAAACTGAGTCACATTTGGAAAAATGAGTCAAACTGAAATGTGGGTCACACTTGGAAAGATGGGTCACACTTGGAAAAACGGGTCACACTTGGAGAAATTGGTCACACTTGGAAAAATGGGTCACACATGGAAAAATGGGTCACACTTGGAAAAATGGGTCACACATGGAAAAAAGTTGGACAAACTTGGAAATAAGGATCAATGTTGGAAAAATGGGTCACATTCGGAAAAATAGATAATACTTGGAAAAGAGAGTCACACTTGGAAAAATGGGTTACTCTTAGAAAAACGGGTCACATTTGGAAAAACGGGTCACACTTGGAAAAAAGAGTCACACTTGGAAAAAAGGTCAAACTTGGAACAACGGGTCACACTTGGAAAAAACGGTGAGACTTAGAAAAATGGGTCATACTTGGAAAAATGGATCACATTTGGAAAAATGGGCCACAGTTGGAAAGAAAGGGAGAAAGTTGGAAATAAGGCTCAAACTTGGATAAAAAGGGTAACACTTGGAAAGATAGGTGAAATTTGGAAAAATGTGTCACATTTGGAACACTTAGAAAAATGGGTCGCACTTGGAAAAACGAGTCATATTTGGAAAAGAGAGTCACAATTTGTCGAGCCCATGTGCCTTCTTTCATGTTCATCTTGATGCATATCAACCTGAGTTCATCAGGACTCGCTTTGAAACCAAGGCAAAACGAAACTTTGTAAAGGAGCATTTTTTATCTTTGACAAAGCCGAACTTTATTTTATGGAAACTGTAATAGTCAAGAAAATTATTTCTTTATTCCATTTTTTGATAATTTACTGGTTCATATTGAAGCCACAAGTATTTCATTTAGATTTCTCGTCTTTGAAAACATTACTCACCACAAGTAATTTTTTTAACTCTTTTTCTCTGAAGGAGCATTTACACCAATAATTGAAAGAAAAACTTGTTTTTAATGAAAAAATAAATAAAAAGCTTTTTACAATTCTGTTAAAACAATGCTGTTCATGGTTAAAAACTCTTATTCACAAACTCTTATTTACAAACTGTAGTTTCATTTACATTTTTGTTGAAATACCAACCTTGTAGCTCAGTGTCTGTTTGTTTAAAACTCAGTTGGAGGTATCTTGCTGTCTAGCTAGCACTGACAACAATGAACACTTAAATCATAAACGAGAAATGTTCTTCACATCGCGAAGAAACATAGTAGACCTCACTGGGAGTAACATTGAATTTGAAGACGCAACTTCTTGACGTGTCACTGTTTTCTTGTCTGGATGACTATTGCTCGTTTGTAGTCCTCGATAGCGGCCACTTTTTTGCCTTGTTTACCAAGAACATCAGCTCGCCTTTTGTAGACAAGAGCATCTCCGGGTTTGAGACTCAAGGCTGTGAAATAATGAATTGATAAAGAACGATCAAAAAATAACAATAATTCTCACACTCAAGGAAGGAAGAAGGATAAGAGAGCCTTAATCCCCCTCAAGTCATGTTTAGCTAGTTACTGGTGGAGAAACAGCTAGCCTCCTTCGCGAACGTTCTTCTCATCACGCAAGCTTTCCTCCCCGACGAGGAGGAGTGCGTGACGTTCTCACTTCTCTTCACGCACTCCTCCACGTGACGGAAGAAAGCTTGCGTGATGCGTCCATAGAGCGTCTGCGTAAGAGGCTAAGAAATAGTTTATCCCAATGTGATGCAAATTTTGATCAGGTGGACAGCCAAAGCGACCCAGCACGCACTTTCATACTCCAAAAAAACACCCACGCAACGTGCGCGCGTGGGAACATTATCCGTAAAAGACCTGGGTACCACGCATAAGGGGTACCCTTGCGAATAAGGCCTTTCTAGTGGTTTAACTCTCTTAACTTTCATCCTCACTATTAACAATGTATTACTTACGTTGAAGTAGCTCAAGCCATTACATCAAATGTGACGAGCGAACTCACGGATCCGTTTTAAAATTTTTGAAGCATCACTTGGCGAGAAGCTAAACTTCTGGTTATTTTTGGATATTCTGAGTTCTGAATTCGAAATATCAATTCTCCTTACTCATTGCGATGTTGGTGGTACATCAAGACATGATGGTTATCTTTATTCTCATCACCTGTCTACTTGACTGTCTATTCATATAATAAGGAGAATCTAACATGTGATCACTGTTGGGACTACCTCTTTCAAGTTGCCAACTGTTCTTCGATGATAATACAGCGCGAAATCAGACCAGGTGAAAGGACAGATGTACGCAATGGGAAGGGTGGGTAGGTGGGTTGCTATTTACCTCTTGTATAGTCGTCCTCTGAATCTTTGTATTTCCTCAATGAAGCATACAGGTTTGCACGGTTAAAGTACACATGAGCCGCATACGGATTCAGCTCCACTGTTAACAGAATAGAAATGAAATTGTAATAGCTATCATTGTAACAAGAGCTACCGGAAAATTGAAAAAAACAAAAAAAAAAATAGAGAAAGTGTCAGTCACACAGAGAGGTGTTTTCTTGCTCCATTTTGATTGGCTGGGTAGATTAGAAGCCAACAAAAAGATATCAAGAGTTAAAAGAAAAACTCTACCTGCATACACACGAATGGATCAGATTAGTACCCCCAAAAAGAGGTCCAATCGGACAGCCCCCATCGAAATTGACAATGACAAATTCTGAGTTTATTTCCTACCTGCCCGATTAAAATCTTGTATTGCACCTCTGGAGTCTTTCATCATCACCTATATAGAGACGAAATGTTAATAACATTGACATTTCACTAGCCTGATGCACCTCTATAAAAGTAAATCCGCTGATCACAGTTGTAAATGTCTTATAGAATTTATGTTTTTCAAAGTATAGGATTTCATAAATTTGAGGCATCTTCGCATTTGGTAACAGCAGGTCTGGCGGGAACTGCACGCGCGCTACATGTGTGACCGCCGAATAATGTGACGTACCTTGGTTATGGCTCGGTTCAGTACCGCGGACTCATCTTCAGCATACCACGACAGTGCTTTGTTGTAGTAACTGAGTGCCTTTAATCAGAAAACAGAAAACAGAACGACCGTTATAACCAGGCTTAGTCCATGAACGGTAAGCTCCAGATGGAACGTAATGTACCGGTTACATGGAGTAAACGAGAAATGCTGTTTATCAAAGTAATGGGTGACAACTTATTACTCTCCCTCCCCTCCCCCTTCCTCGAGAATAAAAATCAACAATAATAATTTTACAGTTGTCTGCTCAGTGACCTGGCCTTTGTATGGCAGCGAGGCTAGAGTTGACCTTGTTTTGATACAGACCTCACTGCTTTTGTCATGTAAATGCAACTAGTTAGCATCAGAACAACTTGTTTTACACAACAAAAGCAGTGAGGTCTGTATCAAAACAAGGTCAACTCTAGCCTCGCTACGATGTAAAATGGTCTATTGAACTAAGTCAAGTCTATGATTTGAAGTTCGTTCCTCAGTATTTAAATACCAGGAAATTACTCATACTACATCTGCGAGGAAATTATTTTGGCAAAGAACACAACACAGAATTCTCAACAGGAATCGTACTATTCTCACTTCTGCCCCACCCTCCCCTCCCCCCCTCCTCTCCCACCAAAGAAGAAGAAGAAAACAAACGTTGGGAATGGTAATTTGGTTTGCACGATCAGACAAAATTTGAAATATGAACTAAATTTCTGAAAAGGTTCTGGAACATATGAGAATCATTTGAAAAGATGAAAACTTTGCGTTCCCACATGGACGTTTTTCTCGGCTAAAATTTCCAGGCCTTTCTTCAAGTTTGAATCCATTTCCGTACCCACACGACTAGGTTCCAGGGGCCCGAATCCAGTAAGTTCTTTTGTGAAAAAAAGAACCCTGAAAATCTTTGGCAACTAACTCAGTGTCGGCTTTTAAGTCCCTTAACGTTAACATTGGTTTCACCCTTTTAATGTTCACACCCGCACCCAACTGACCTGTTTGAACTGTCTCTGTCTGAAGTACACATTAGCTGCATTGTAGTAAGCCAGTGCATAAGATGGATCGGTTTTGACTGCCGCTTGATAATCACGGATGGCGTTAACGAAGTCACCCATGAACTGGAAATAAATAAGAAAACAAAGCAGCAAAGTCTGGTTAACTTGCTGCTGTTGTTTTACTGTGGGTGTCAATTATTGTCTGTGGATGCTTTGTTTTATACGTCACTGGTCACCACAAAATGAAGAAATTACCTAGCATGCTTTCTCCAACGGTGAAACTCCCTGATCGACCAAGTAAACACTCACATCCCACAATTCCCCAAATGGCAAAGTTATCTAAAACAATGTCAACAACCTAACCGTTTCATCTTCTTTCATTACTGTAGTCAGTTATTATCACAGAGTGTTTCACTCGGTTTACCTGCTGCACAACTCCACGATTGGTCAACAGCTCTGCAGTCTTTGAAATCTGATCAAAAACGTAAGGCAAATAGTTAGCTTCAATAGTTTTCATACAAAGTTGGGATGTTGTACCATCGCGAAACCCATGTTAAAAGGGATAGGGAAGCCCATCGACAAATTTGAATTAAATACCCAAAGGAGACCAATCTAGACGAGGTTCAAGCTTTATTTGACCCTCTTAGTGTGCAACCCCAAAACATACCCCCTGGGTAAAATCATTGCCGTTACATCCTGATATTCCCAAATGATAACAAAATCCGCCAGTTACATTCCAAAAATATACGACACGTATCCCACCCATTGCACATGAGAGTCTCCTCAGTGGGAAACCTCCCTTCTACCAGAGCAGTTTCCAAACACGCTCGAAATGTCATGTCAGCTTTCTAAAGTGTTCAATGTAAGAGCAAATTTACGACACCTGGTAATTATTGCTGATTTTCGACCAAACACTGCATTTTGCGCCATCTTTGCCACTGATAAAAAAAAACGGTGGGGGAAAATACGCAAACAGCCCCCTTTTAACGTCAAAGACGTTACTAATGGACATGGTGTATCCTCTTGGTGTCATGCTGATAGTGAAACAACTCGCACTCAGCCCGACGTTTAACATAATAACTCTGTCCAGATCATTCACAGAATTAGCCATGTCCAACTAAAATATACGTAACCAGCAGACTGTAACTCAGAGCCGCTAGTTTATAATCCTATACCTTAATGGCTTCATTCATATCAACAAAGGCACCAAACGTGTTACCCATCTGTAGATTTACCACAGCTCGTCCTTCTAGAGCTGACTGACATCCTGCGAAAATAGAAATTACAAAAACATTGTTTGCTAACCTGGCTCCTGATGTTTTCTTTAACAATTATAGAATTGAAATTTGTATAGCCCAAATTTTATGCGTATGATTAAAATGCGCTTTAATACGATGTATGTTAAAAAGCTTAAAACTGTTCCTTGTAAATTGAAGTAAAGCATTTAGATTACATATAGACTTTTTCTTTGTTCTAAAGGAGAAAAAAAAATATAACGTTGTCAACCGGGGTATAGTAAATGTTTACTATGATTTTAACAACATGCCATTTCTCTAAGTATTTTTTTGCTCGGCTAAGACATTTCAAGTCGTTGATTAATTTTCAAACATAGCTGACCTGAATCAATGGTTATTGCTGCGGAAAATTGGCTCCACGCTGCCTGGAACTTCCCCTCCACCTAAATAAGAAGACGACAAAAAAAAAATTTCCAAGGAATAAATTAATGGATCAAACACTCACTCAGGTGACCAGCCATGCCAGTGGAGCAATTTCTCAACTTGCACTTACAAAGCCGGACTGTTTTTCATTGCTTACTTGCAGGTTGTAGCCCAAGTTAACTCGTGCAGATAAACAGAGTGGGTCCATGTGAAGAGCCTTCAAATAATCATGCCTGAAACACAAGTGCAAAAACGTGAAGTTTTCAGCTTTATCTCTATCTGGTTAGTCATACATTATTTCGTTCGTTCGTTCGTTCGTTCGTTCGTTCGTTCGTTCGTTCGTTCGTTCGTTCGTTCGTTCGTTCGTTCGTTCGTTCGTTCGTTCGTTCGTTCGTTCAGAATAACATGAAGACGGGCGTTCAATGACGTTTACTCACCTTCCAAGTACGGTGCCGTCTTCGTGTCCAAAGTCCATCAGTGCATTTCCTCGGCCATTATAAGCCTCGACAAAGAACGGATCGATACGCAGAGCATCGTTGTATGAAGACACGGCTTCCTCCAGGCGGTTTAACCTAAAAGAAACAATGAGAACGTAACAATATTTTCATTGACGAAAGATTCGCCAAGTTCATCTCTGTTCTAAATGCAGTTTCTTCAGAGTCCTTAAAACTGCCCTCAGAATTAAGGAAAGCGAAAATAATTAAATAAAACCTGGGTTTTGACTGTAAGGGAAGAAACACAACACAACTTCTGGTTTTCATCGCTTTGAATTTTGAAAACCTTTTAACCTGACCCAAGTAACGGTGATGAACCAGTTGTTTTTGGTCGTCACCCGCGGCGTGAAAACAAAAATCCCCGACATTTTACCGACACGGAAACAATTTTCACTGATCGAAATATTTGCGCTTAAGATTTGCTTACCTGTGGTAACACAGACCCAAGGTGTGACGAATATGAGGGTTCTGCGGAGAAACCTTAGAAAGCAACAAACCATAACAGTGAATTATATGCACACGAGTAGAGGTCCCGCCAGTAAAAAGACTGGACAAGCGAGAAAAAATTATTTCCAGCAATAACGTACGTGTTTATGTACCTTAGCTGCAGCCAGAAAATCTTGAAGAGCGTTTTCCATGTCATCTATTTCGTAATACAGCAATCCTCGATTCTGTAGAACCTGGATTAAGACATATAGAAAAGGAAAACAACATTGAGGAATTGCCTTTGTGAAATAAGCTTGATTTCCGCCACTCTCTCGGTAACCGAGCCAAGATGTGCGACGGATCGGGGCAAGTGGGGATAACCACCATTCATTTACGATGTTTTAGTATTTAGTCTGTACAACAAGAAAATGAAGCTATTTTTTTCAATTTTGCCTAAACTAGATTTATCCATGCACGTTTGTACCAAATGAAGGCCTGTGATTATCCCGTGGTCATGGAACCCTTCGAAAGAATCATTCACAGCGACACGGATCAGAACGTTTTCCTAATTCGAGTAGAGTTGCTTAGTTAATACGACATGAGCTCAAGGTTAAGCAGTTTGTTTCTATCTGTAGGAGACTGGACAAGCTAAGTGGCACTAAGTAACTTCGGGTATTTGTAGCATGAAACAACCAGGTCCGAATTGTTCGAAAGCCGGTTATCACTAACCAAGGGTTAAAAGTTAATTTTCATTGATGAAAATTGTTTCTCACTGCTTATGTTTTGTGTGGTTTGAGAATATTCAAACTCAAAACTGAAGGACCACAATATAAACAGACCACCNCCCCCCCACCCCGCTCCAAAAATAATAAAAAAAACGTCACAAATCTGATATCAAAATTCTCGCTGATCCTCGGTTAGCTTAATCGGCCTTTGAACAACCCAGCCCAGGAGTTGTGGAATCCCTTCCGAATGGGATGCAAGTTCACCACAGGTTAACCCTAACCTATTCCTACCGTCCATGATTCAACCTCACTCACCTTAATGTTTGGAGTGTCTTCAAGTAACATGACAGTTCCATAATCCATCAGCGCCTGTAGAAAATCACAAATGGAATGTTCGGAATGTTTCGCGGAGAGCGTTGTCGTATACATCACTTGCAAACAATTTCGCACTATTTCGGGCTTTTAATTTTTGGACACTTTTTACCTCATTTCGGACAAATTTCGGACAAAAATTTCGGACACTTTCTTGAAACTTAGACTGAAAAAACATCAAAAGGTAATAGTTTTAAAGCACCTTCAAGGTTTTACAGATACACCGACGAGAAAATAACACAAATCAGATCTATCAAGTCATTACGTATCTCAAGCAGTGTGTCAACTAAAGTTCGCTCAATCATAAGGGAACTAAGAGATTTGGACGGAGTTACTTACAAGTTTCACATTGTACTACAAATATTTCGGACGCTTAAAAATTTCGGACGGTTTTATTTTCGGATACTTCTTTTGTCCGAAATTAAAATCGACCGAAATTTCTGGCAAGTTAATGCAGATTTTGATAACTTACTCTTCTTTAGACAAACCCAAACCAACAAAAACTATTGAGTACGTTTTTAGTGAGTTGTACTAACCTTCTGAAAGAATCTCATTTCATGGTAGCACACGGCTCGGTTGAAGTAAGCCAGTGAACATTTGCAGTCGATTGCTACAGCTTCTGTGAGATCTTTCACAGCAAGACTGTAAGCTTTGATGTTGTACTTTAAGGCTCCCCTACAAGTTGTCAAACAAAATTTCAGCGTAGAATCACTGCTAACTTTCCACAACCTGGTGTCCTCGCGGCGCAGCGATCAGATCCGGAGTTTAAGAGCTCAATTAGAAATCCACCCCGCTTCCTCTAGGTATATTATGATTTGTTTTCATTATCTCCAGAAACTGCCCGATAAACACGCTTTGTAAATAGCCAACTGGTTCGCTTTACCAATGCTGTGTTTATTCAAAGAACTCCTTCCCTAAACTATTTAGCTAAAAGCTAAATGTATGTCTACTACAATCATATATTTACTTCACATAAAGCTATTTTCCACATAAGAAATATGTCACTTTAGAATAAAAAAGAGCCTGTAAATGTATCCGAAGGTAATGAAAATTGCACTTCTTAAAAGTAGTCAGTCCCATAAAACACAAAATCATAATGATCAGCTTTATCGCAAGGTAACTCGAACACTTTTATTGCGCTTTCTTTCTTTTAAGTTCCAAAAGACGACCACTTCAGACCCATTACTCAGTCTTTGTCATCTGCATTATGCAGACAGCAACTTCCTAACTTTTCAAGTTAAATAATCTAGGAAAACTGGAGGCTGAAGAGAGAGAGTCCAAACCTGTAAAGATAAGCCCTGACACTGCGAGGCTGTAGTTTGATGGCCTCGTTACAACTCATGATTCCTTTGCTGTACCGTCCTTTCATACCATAGTACGCTGCTCGACTCAAAAATGCCTGACACAAAAACCAAATAAAACTCATTTAGAGATTTATTGATTTTGTATTGAAGGAATGCATGGTATCCTTATTCTTTATATCCAAAACTAATTACGTCTTTCAGGGTTGATTTTTGTTTCAAAGATTTTTTGGTGGGTTTATTTTCCGTGTGGGAGAAGCGCGTTTAAAAAAAATGCGCGCTTACATTAGAAGTGATTGTTTTGTGTGAAAAATCTAACACTTTCTAAACACGACAATATTCGAGTCTTTCCACATCGTCGACTTACCTGGAATAAAGTGGGATTGATGGCCAGTGCTCGGTTAAAATCGTGGATTCCTTTGGCGTGTTTCAGCTTCATTTTAGTGAGTCCGCGCTGGTAGAAAGCCTTAGAAAGGAAGTTAATATACCTTCAGTTAGAAATATCAATTCTCCTTTCTGGGTGCTACACGTCTCTTGCAATCTTCGTTCTGAGAATTCAATGGTAAATCAGGCTTCAGTAGTTCGAAGGCTGGATAACGCTATCCACCGGATAAATCACTATCCAGCGGATAGCGTGGTTTGTTATCCAGCCTTTGAACAAGTGGGGCCAGGATAATATGAAACCGCTAGATGTTTTTCTTCTTTGTTCTCATCGACTCGATATTTTCCAAGATTAACTCGAGAGATTTGGGTGGCGGGGTGGTGGTGGTGTGGTAGGGGAGGGGGGAGGGAGGGAGGGTAACTAACTGCTCCTCTTGGGACCATCCAGTGTATATTGTTACCTCAGCATAATCCGGGTTCACTCGTATAGCATTGTTGAAAGCATCCAGCGCACCAAGGGGTCTTCCAAGCTCTGATTGACACATGCCAATTAGGAAATGAACAGACGCAGCTTCTATTGGCATTTCATGGCGAGGATTCCATGGAGTCTGCAGAAGGAAGAAAGTCGAGCAAACGATCAGAAACTGCGCAGGTGCTTTGAATGATAAAAGTTTTAAGTACCCATACCAGCCAAGTGGCCCATCAGGCCGGAGCTTATCCCAGTTTCCGTAGCGTAAAGCCACTAGGAGTATTTCTACTTCCCCTTGGGATAGGATGCTAGTCCATCGCAGGGTTACCCCTCAGCATTAAGTTCGCCGGTACCCATTTATGCACCTGGGTGGAGAGAGGCACTGTGAGAGCAAAGTGTCTTGCCCAAGAACACAACACAATGTCCCTGGCCAAGGCTCGAACCTGGACCGCCCGATCCGAAGTCGAGCGCACTAACCATGAGGTCACCGCACCTCCACCAATGAATAGTACATGCATAAGTGGCAAAAAATAGCGGCCTGTCTTTGATTGTGGTACAAGGGTCTTCTTGTTTAAACAAAAGGCTTCTTACAGCTGAGCCATCGGAGGTCAGCTGGAAAGAAGTATCAAGGTATGACTGAAAAGTGAGCTTGAGAAATGACGATCTATCTTACTAGAAGAGGAGAAAGAGAGGAAAGAGGTGAGAGAGGAAAGGAGAACGAAGGGCGCGGGAGAAAATACACAAAGGCCGAGAAATAATGTGTTTAATTTCCGCATTTAGGAAAAGGGCATGGAGTTTTCTGCGCACAACCAAAAGAGAAATATCTGATAGTGAGGCTTCTTCAGTGAAACCAAACTGAGTACTTCAGCCAGCAACGATAGCAATACAAGTAATACCGTAGAATTCCGAAAGTAACGGCTTCTTTTGCCCGCTAAATCCGAATGTAACGGGGGCTGTTACTTTCGGAATTCTACGGTAATGAAAAAGGGTGGTATTCAAGAACAACAACAAAAAAATAAATCAATTAATTAAAAATTAAAAATTAAAATTACAATATTTAGAAAGGAAGCCACATCAGCCTTAGGTGGTTTTCATGCAGGTTTTCTATCCTGGTCGAATTAGAATTTGGAGTGTTGGTTATTTAGGAGTGAGGAAACCCGGAGAACCCGCAGAAAAACCCTCGGAGCAAGGCGAGAACCAACAACAAACTCGACTCACATATGACGCCGGACCGGAATCGAACCCAGGCCACATTGGTGGGAGGCGAGCACTCTGGCCACTGAGCCATCCCTGCTCCCCCAGAGTAAGAACTATTTGCCATATTACCGGGATTTCGTTTTAGAACGAAATCAAAGCATTTTTGCTCATAGGTGAAAAGCTTGTGTCCAATAAAAACGTTCCTCCTCTGCCTCACAGGAGGTGTACATGCAGCATGGAAAGAAAAGAGAAGTCGAGTCACATACCATGACCTTGATGGCCCTCTCAAAGCTGCTAATGGCGTTTTCAAATCTCTTGGCCTTCATGTTGGTTTTTCCCAGGAGAATGAACAAAGGAGCTACAGGTTTCACACGAGTTGCTCGTTCAAGAACTTCAATGGCCTGCAAGTCAAACAAATACTTGTGACAAAAATCAACGACGAGTCTAAGGAGCCTAATTTGCTGCTCTGGAAAAGTTAGATTTAGAATAAGAGTAAATTATAACTGCAGAATAAAAGATTATTTTAGTAAAAAAAGTTTTCTTACTTTCAAAGATTGACATTACCTGGTCGAAGTTCCTCAAGAAACTCTGCACCACAGCTTGTTGAGTTGCAGACGCTCCTAACCCACTGTTGAGGTCAGCGGCTTGTCTAATAAAACATAATGAACCATTGAACGAAAAATCACCACACTTGGAACAGAGCGTGATACTGGTCAGAGGTTAGTAAGGGACCATTGCTCCTTTTGCTTGTGTATATGTAACTTAATTTATCGTAAAAGTTATCCTATGATGAATAAATAGTTGCTATTGTTGTTGCTCTTCTTTCACCTGACCACTTTTTTTTTGACAGATCTTAACCATTAGAAGGTCCGAGCACCATTTACTTTACGATGAATATGGAAAACAAACCTGACATGAAAACTTGCCAGCTCTAATTTGTTCTGCTCCAGTAACAGTTTTCCCTGGAAACAAACACCATGTTCATTAGTATCAGCTTAAAAGGGAGGGATTTTGACTGCACTTGGCATTCTGTACGGTGAACTGGAATCAGTTTTGCCAAATCTTTTTTGAATCTGGAAACGTTTAGAATTCTTGAGGCCGGATAAAACGATGACGAAAATTGATGCGAGAACTCAAACCATCTGTGAAAAAGCCATGCAATGAAGTTCCAATTAGCTCCAACTGATGAGAGCGCACGAGAGGTTGGCTCTGAGGGAGCATACTGTCAGGCCAGCTTGGTTTCATAGTCAGAATGTTGCTGCTTAGCAACCTTGCAGACTATTTGCAGGCTCAGCTAGTTCCCAGGTTCAGGCAAGATGTGTTGTACTTATGTCACCGCTAATGATACTTTACAATCTAGGTTAGCTTCGTTTATTAAATGTATCAAAGGCGTGTACTTACTCTGGCCATGTGGTAGTCGGATATGTCTGGTCTCATGTGAATTACTCTCGTGTAGTCTAGGATTGCCTCTTGAATCTGTAAAATGATAACATTGTCAACATTAGTTTACCAAATTCATAATCCATTCCACTCTCCCTCAATCATAATTATCACTGTTGAATGTCGTTATTTATTCTGATCACCTTTTCGGTGCTTCTCTTCCTCAGGAAATTCTTGCTTAAAGGACTTACGTCACGGTTTGCGCATCTTGAAAATATTAGCCTACATTTTTCAAGTTCGTCGTTTGTAATTCGTGTTAATCTTCTCCATCCTTGTTCCTTTATGGTTTATTATTATTATCTCTTTGGTGTTTTTCTATCTTAGTAAAGAACTATTTTCAGGTTCCCTTCAGTTTAATAAAAGTAATTTTTTACATGGCCAAAATAACTCAAAATACGTTGAAAAGATGATTTAAAATAACGTATTTGGATAGTTTTGAACAAACGAAACTCCCCGTAGAATGAGAAATATTCTTCTTGCTTAGAAAGTTAAGAATATTTTCTCTCGATCGTATACTTGCATTCCTTTGCCTATTATAATAGGCAAAGGAATGCAAGTATACGATCGAGAGAAAATATTATTAATACTCGTTAGTTTTTGAATATATTCAAAGAAAGAAAAAGATATTCAGATATCTTGATAGTATCAAGTCAAGTAAAAGATACTATGAATGGTCAAGATAGAAGAAAAGACCAGAAATCTTGAAAAAGAACAAGCATGAATACAACACTGATTGGGAGAATCACAACTCGCGCAGAACTACGCAAATGATAGGTGGCCGAAACTAGACCATCATTTAATACCCACCATGTGGAGTTTGTGGTATGCCTCAGCTCGACAGATATAAGCTCTGATGTATGTGGGATCAACCCGAATGGCTGCTGTGTACCGGCGAACAGCCCTATAGAAATATATAACAACAACAACATACTTGGTGAAGCCAAACAAACTAAACCAGAGGTTTAATTAAGTGTTGGGCACTGGGCAAACTTCCCGGCTGTAAGAATGATTTTGTCCGCCTGGCTTGACCATCTAGGGGAAGGTTTTTCTTAAAATTTTACACGGCTTTTCAGTGTTGAAAATCCTTGTAAAACACCGCTGTTTATATAATTAATTTATTTACGTACTTGTGATAGTTGCTATACTTGATGATGTAAATCAGGCCTATGTTGACATGAGCACTTGCTAACTCGGAATCCAACTGAAGAGCAGCTTCGAAATCAGGGACAGCATCCTCCCATCTGAAAAACAACCAATTCAAACATTGTAACCAGTCTTGTAGGATTCGACGCGGCAAAAATAAGCTACGTAGCCCCTTACCTCTTAAGATCGGTGTACAGAATACCCCGGTGCAAAAACGCTTTGACGTTCTCTTCAGAATTGTCAAGAAGCAAAGACACACTGAAATCTTGCAAGGCTCTCCTCGGATGAACTCTGAAACCATAAAGAAACGAGATTATTATTAAGAGACATTTTTTCCGTATAAACATTATAGTGCATTTAGTGACACTTATGTGGTTGATTTTTTTCATCATACAAATCCATAAACGGATGTTGAGCCTATATTGAATTCGCCACCCTTTAGGCCCCATCTACACTACGCGGGGGAATTTGAAAACGGCGTTTTCCATCTGAAAACGCATCAGATGTTTTCCGTCCACACTAAGCTGGAGGAATTTAAATACGCATCAATCATCGGCTATTTTGGATTTGTGTTCGAAAAAAAAAAAAAAACTCTGGAAGATAAATCACATGATCATTGTGATGTCATCGTTTTGAAAAAGCGTCGTTCTCGAAATATTGTTCGTCCACACTTCAAGGCAAAGCCGTCGTTCTCAAATTTCTCCAGTTGAAGTACGTTTTCAAAAAGTTCCTTTTTCGTGACGGATTAGTATGGACGGTAGGCCTAATCGGAAAAATAAAGCTGCGTTTTCAAATTCCTCCAGCGTAGAGTGGACGGGGGCTAAAATAAATTGGGACTTCCTAAGCGTACCCAGATTAGAGTTCTTCAGCAATTACAGCCGTTTTGATAGTCTCTGTGAGCAATTACTCGACTCGCGTTACACAAGTAGTTATTGATAGTTGCAACCATAGAGACGACAGAAACAAATAAGAAAATACATCTGCAAAATTACGCTTCTTACTTCCTCAGTAAACAGCCCCTGTGGTAAAATGCGACGGCATTTTGAGGATCATAATGAACAGCAGCGGCAAGGTCTTTTAATGCAGCCTCAAAATTACCCTGCAAAAAACATGAAAACTTTTCACTGATAAGTTATAGGAAGTGCGGTGGTTCAGTGGTTAGCGCGCTGGACTCCGAATCGACGGGGCCGGGTTCGAGCCCTCTGTGGTGGATCATTGTGTTCTTGGGTAAAACACTTGGGTAAACTTTTAAGGTAACCTGAGAAAATGGCGGTGTGCTGGGGAGACCCTTAGGGTTAGTCGTTTCTTTGGCTCGTCACTTAACCTCAATCACCGTTTATGCCAACAGCGAGTAAACGTTTGTAGGATAAGCTCAGCGACTTTATGCTATTAGATACAATAAGCATGTAGGTACTAACATAATTTTCAAAGGATGTGACTGAAGCTGTAACGCAAGACTATATTACATACCGTCTTGGCGTGAGCTCTTGCTCTGTAGGTATAAGCTCTGGAATCTTCTGGGTCTTGTTGGAGAAGTTGGGTGAAATCTCTCAGAGCCGCAGTCCAGTTTCTATGATCAACGAAACACTGTGTGATTAGCGCAAGATCACGGAAACAGACCACAACAATGTTTGGAAGATGATGATGACCGAAACAACTGAAATATTTCGACAATACAAAGCACGGACGATTACTAAATCGACTAAAAATGTATGGTTTAGTAACTGTCCCGGAGTTGTACTCTCTAAAAGTTCAAAAGCGAACTTTAAGTACCATAGTTTTAAAACAAAGGGCATTTTTTTAACAAACCACTAATTGAGAAATTGGGTACAAGTTTACCTAATTTGATTTCATAACCCTCCCACACAGTTTTGGTTTTCCATTGGCCGAAAACAAAGCGACAACTAGATATGTTTTTGAATCACTCACTGGTTGTTAAAACGAAAGAGTCCCATCTCGAACATGGCGTCCGTCTTTGAGGGCAAAAGCTTGGCTGCAATCTTGTAATCTTCAAGAGCCAGAATCATGTCTCCACGCTGCAGGACAGTTTCATTTAGAGAAAATGCCAGTAACTAACATGCGTTATTCCTGTTACACTTGCTGTATTTAATAAGTTAATCGGTGTCATCGGAGTAAATAGTGCCTTAACCCTTCTCTTCTTTAAAGTGACGAGCAAATAGTTTCTCCTTACAACTCCACTACGCTGTTAAGCATGCAGTTAAAGAAAATAAAGATTTTCATCAACTCGGACATTTTTTCCTGTATCGTCACAACATTGTGTAAATTCCTTTCCAGCCTCTCTCTTATTCCCACTCCAGATGGAGGGAAACACAAGAGCCCGTCTCTCTTCGCGCGCTAAAGTCTCACCAACTCAAAAAATCCCATACTGATGACGTAGCTTTAGAGAGATTCGTTTACTGTTTCTGATTGGTTGTTGCTCGGCTTGAAGGACGTCACTCAAGTGTAAGAAGTGTTAACAAGAGAGGTGTTTCTAAACATATCATTTCAATAACAATGCAAATATAAGGAGGTTACCATTTTAAACATGGCTGCTCTCTGATAGTAGGTTTCAGCATCGGCTGGGTTCAACTTAATCGCCTGAAACCAAATCACACATTATTTTGGTCAGTTTGTGTGCAGGTAGAATACTCAAATATTTTGAGATCTGAGCTAGAACAAATGTCAACGCACGGTTTTATAGCACTTCAAGAAATCCGTCATATTTCTAGGGATTAGTCTGGTAGGTGGGCGTCCTCGCGAGCGACCGTGAAGAAAAAGAATGATTTCTCTCAACCTCCGAGATTCGAGTTTCCTCCTATAAGGTGATTTTTGAGCGTGCTTACGCACTCGCCTGCTCGACTAACAGTGAGAAAACTGAAGGAATTCTTGTAGTGTACTTGATCATTGATACCTGAGAGTAATTGACAATGGCCATTGTGGCGTCATTTTCCAGACGATACAATTCTGCCCTGCAGTTAAAATCGAACATGATGTTTAATACACTCATTTGTCAACTACGATAGAGCATGTAAACACGAAATTGAATCCAAGAGCGACTCGTTCGTCAGAGAACTGTAAGTATAATCTAGGTCGTGTTTTGCAAGAAAACGATACAAACATAAGCTGTTCTTTCTACAATTCCCCAAACCTGGATCGAAAGGCTCGAGCCTGCGTACTACTGTGCTTGATAATGAAAGACAAGTCATCCAGAGCTGACTGAAAGACACAATAATAAACACCATAAGTAGAATTCTATTTGTATACTAAAGCAAATACTGCAATCTTAATGGCTGAATTATCGTACACTGTCAGCCATTAGTGTGCAGTGGTTGTTGGTCGTCTTCGAAATGGCGAAAGAAACTCTCCATGCACTGGCGGATATCTTCTGAATCTTACTGTTTGTGGACGGTATTGCACTGGAACAAGCTTGCATTTAAGGCTCAGGTAGGGAGTCTTCAAATCTCATATGGCATTACATGTAATGATATCCTCGCACATGAGGCTCCGCTGCAAGCTAGTCTGTTTACAGTCTTTAAACACTAATCGAGAGGAGGTCAGTGGACATGTTACCTTTCGATTATCCTGTAGCAGATGCAACAGATGTCTGTGCCAGTAAGCATCCAGCAGTTTAGGTTCCAGCTCAATAGACCTGGCAACAAAAGATACACCACATGAATGAAGGAAATTCCAAGAAACAATGAGTTATTCCATATAACCTCCAACGGTGTTTTGAGTTGTTGGAAGACCCGTATCCTTAATTAAGCCTTTTCAGGTTTTATTCTATTGGCTTAAAAATGCTTAAAATTGCTTCGAACTGCTACCATTAGAGAATCTACTCGTCCACGTATTCTCTGAGAGATAATCAACCATTTTTTTTCATGTAGGTGAAGTCTGCCAACTGGCCCGTCAGGCCGGCGCTCATATCCGGTTTCTGTAGCACGAAGCGACTAGGAGTATTTCTACTCCCCCCTGGTTGGGATGCTAGTCCATCGCAGGGTTACCCCCACTATTAATATGGCCGGTATCCATTCATACACCTTGGGTGGAGAGAGACACTGTGAGAGTTAAGTGTCTTATCCAAGAAAACAACACAATGCCCTCGGCCAGGGCTCAGACCTGAACCGCTCGCTCCGGAGTCGAGCGCACTAACCATGAGGCCACCGCTCCTCCAACTCGGGCTCATAATATGATTGTTGAATGCCACGGAGGAAGAAAGGGAGACAAGACCAGAACAACACGCGTGTATCAGCAAAATACTATAGATCCCTGTTACTTGTGTTTTACATGAGCTGTGAATTCATTCCCGTTCTCCTCTCACCTGTTTAAGTCATCCCACGCCCTCTTCAAATATCCGAGCTGCAGATGAAAAGAAAGCCCCATTCAAATTAGAACCACTAAGACTGTACAAATAGAACACAACTTATATAACAACGACGACCCACGTGGAACCCGACGTTTCTTAAGGCAGTAAGTGGCATCGCATTAAACAGTCAGTTCTGAAAGTCACGGAAGTTGCAACGCCATGATTACTGCGGATTTGAGCTGTATACTCTTTTTTGATACGAATATAGTTTTTCTAGCCTGCAAACGCAGACGCATTTTCGGTTGTCACTTGGTTCCGCCGAAAGGAACCAAGTGACAGCCGAAAATACGTCTGCGTTCGCAGGCTGTTGTTTTTCTGGCCTAGGCTAAAATTTATTATTTTTCTACCGATTTTAGGCTTAAAATATTCGTACGTGTGAATATTCTTAAATTATAGCATATGGCATTTATGATTTATTGACTTTGCTGGCGTTGAAGTAATTTTGAAGCCAGACTGCAGGTAATAAACCCTGTTATGACTTGTGCCTAGTTTTGCTGTTTAGAGAAAGGAAGAATTTTCACGGTTTAGTTCAAAACATATAACTGTATTGTGTTTACAAATTTTCAACACACAAAATCATACTCTTTTCAAAATCTCAGCCTCGGGTTTATTCTTAAAATATTCGTAAAATTTGGCAAATTTCAGCCTCAACATTGTTACAAAATATATTCTTATAATGAAAAAAGATCTAAAGTTGGTTATTTACCTTGCGTAAGACAGCACCTCTTCGGCATAAAAAGATAGCAGTAGACTCCGGTTTCTGTGTAGTTTCGAGCAAATCGGTTAGTCGTTCAACTTCCTCTTGAAGGGCCTATAGTACAAACAAAACCAAAACAGAACATTTGTAGATTTATAAATTTGGCTCAAGATGAAAAATGTTTATAAGAGTTTTTGCCAAGATGGATAAAGTTTCACTTACGTTGTACAGCTCCCGGTCTGAGCTTCTTATCTCAGGCTCGATCACTTGGATGTCTTCTAGTATATCGTTGTCTATAACAACGGCTGTGGACTTGCTGTGTGGAAACAAAACTGCGCTCTAAGATACCTTTAATCACACGTGCTATGCTATACTAGTAACACTAAGGCTTTTCAGTTAGTCTTGAATTAACTGCTGAATATTTTACTGTATGACTGAGAAAATGTCTTTATTGTGATTGGCTGAGAGCTGGCCAATTTATCGTGAAGTTTTAATTTGCACTGCAGTGCCGCAAATTAACGCGCGCGTGCGTATATTTTTCAGTCGTACAAGTAAAACTTCTGTCACATTACACTCGCGTAAAGGCTGGTGCAATTTTGAGACAATTTTCAACTATCGCTCTTGGTGTAAATTTACTACGTCTACAGTCATGTACGATTTCCTGTGGCCGGTTTTCATGTGACGTCATCATTTTCCAAAATCAAAAATTACCAATCCTTCTGAAGTTTTGATTTCATCGCATGTAAGACCCTCTAAGAACTTGACGTTTTACTAAAGGGTTCTTCGTTTTGTAATAGAAGACGTTTGAATTTCCAAGTTTATGCGTTGCATGACATTAAAATGGCGACCCGAGAAGNACGGGGGCTAAAATAAATTGGGACTTCCTAAGCGTACCCAGATTAGAGTTCTTCAGCAATTACAGCCGTTTTGATAGTCTCTGTGAGCAATTACTCGACTCGCGTTACACAAGTAGTTATTGATAGTTGCAACCATAGAGACGACAGAAACAAATAAGAAAATACATCTGCAAAATTACGCTTCTTACTTCCTCAGTAAACAGCCCCTGTGGTAAAATGCGACGGCATTTTGAGGATCATAATGAACAGCAGCGGCAAGGTCTTTTAATGCAGCCTCAAAATTACCCTGCAAAAAACATGAAAACTTTTCACTGATAAGTTATAGGAAGTGCGGTGGTTCAGTGGTTAGCGCGCTGGACTCCGAATCGACGGGGCCGGGTTCGAGCCCTCTGTGGTGGATCATTGTGTTCTTGGGTAAAACACTTGGGTAAACTTTTAAGGTAACCTGAGAAAATGGCGGTGTGCTGGGGAGACCCTTAGGGTTAGTCGTTTCTTTGGCTCGTCACTTAACCTCAATCACCGTTTATGCCAACAGCGAGTAAACGTTTGTAGGATAAGCTCAGCGACTTTATGCTATTAGATACAATAAGCATGTAGGTACTAACATAATTTTCAAAGGATGTGACTGAAGCTGTAACGCAAGACTATATTACATACCGTCTTGGCGTGAGCTCTTGCTCTGTAGGTATAAGCTCTGGAATCTTCTGGGTCTTGTTGGAGAAGTTGGGTGAAATCTCTCAGAGCCGCAGTCCAGTTTCTATGATCAACGAAACACTGTGTGATTAGCGCAAGATCACGGAAACAGACCACAACAATGTTTGGAAGATGATGATGACCGAAACAACTGAAATATTTCGACAATACAAAGCACGGACGATTACTAAATCGACTAAAAATGTATGGTTTAGTAACTGTCCCGGAGTTGTACTCTCTAAAAGTTCAAAAGCGAACTTTAAGTACCATAGTTTTAAAACAAAGGGCATTTTTTTAACAAACCACTAATTGAGAAATTGGGTACAAGTTTACCTAATTTGATTTCATAACCCTCCCACACAGTTTTGGTTTTCCATTGGCCGAAAACAAAGCGACAACTAGATATGTTTTTGAATCACTCACTGGTTGTTAAAACGAAAGAGTCCCATCTCGAACATGGCGTCCGTCTTTGAGGGCAAAAGCTTGGCTGCAATCTTGTAATCTTCAAGAGCCAGAATCATGTCTCCACGCTGCAGGACAGTTTCATTTAGAGAAAATGCCAGTAACTAACATGCGTTATTCCTGTTACACTTGCTGTATTTAATAAGTTAATCGGTGTCATCGGAGTAAATAGTGCCTTAACCCTTCTCTTCTTTAAAGTGACGAGCAAATAGTTTCTCCTTACAACTCCACTACGCTGTTAAGCATGCAGTTAAAGAAAATAAAGATTTTCATCAACTCGGACATTTTTTCCTGTATCGTCACAACATTGTGTAAATTCCTTTCCAGCCTCTCTCTTATTCCCACTCCAGATGGAGGGAAACACAAGAGCCCGTCTCTCTTCGCGCGCTAAAGTCTCACCAACTCAAAAAATCCCATACTGATGACGTAGCTTTAGAGAGATTCGTTTACTGTTTCTGATTGGTTGTTGCTCGGCTTGAAGGACGTCACTCAAGTGTAAGAAGTGTTAACAAGAGAGGTGTTTCTAAACATATCATTTCAATAACAATGCAAATATAAGGAGGTTACCATTTTAAACATGGCTGCTCTCTGATAGTAGGTTTCAGCATCGGCTGGGTTCAACTTAATCGCCTGAAACCAAATCACACATTATTTTGGTCAGTTTGTGTGCAGGTAGAATACTCAAATATTTTGAGATCTGAGCTAGAACAAATGTCAACGCACGGTTTTATAGCACTTCAAGAAATCCGTCATATTTCTAGGGATTAGTCTGGTAGGTGGGCGTCCTCGCGAGCGACCGTGAAGAAAAAGAATGATTTCTCTCAACCTCCGAGATTCGAGTTTCCTCCTATAAGGTGATTTTTGAGCGTGCTTACGCACTCGCCTGCTCGACTAACAGTGAGAAAACTGAAGGAATTCTTGTAGTGTACTTGATCATTGATACCTGAGAGTAATTGACAATGGCCATTGTGGCGTCATTTTCCAGACGATACAATTCTGCCCTGCAGTTAAAATCGAACATGATGTTTAATACACTCATTTGTCAACTACGATAGAGCATGTAAACACGAAATTGAATCCAAGAGCGACTCGTTCGTCAGAGAACTGTAAGTATAATCTAGGTCGTGTTTTGCAAGAAAACGATACAAACATAAGCTGTTCTTTCTACAATTCCCCAAACCTGGATCGAAAGGCTCGAGCCTGCGTACTACTGTGCTTGATAATGAAAGACAAGTCATCCAGAGCTGACTGAAAGACACAATAATAAACACCATAAGTAGAATTCTATTTGTATACTAAAGCAAATACTGCAATCTTAATGGCTGAATTATCGTACACTGTCAGCCATTAGTGTGCAGTGGTTGTTGGTCGTCTTCGAAATGGCGAAAGAAACTCTCCATGCACTGGCGGATATCTTCTGAATCTTACTGTTTGTGGACGGTATTGCACTGGAACAAGCTTGCATTTAAGGCTCAGGTAGGGAGTCTTCAAATCTCATATGGCATTACATGTAATGATATCCTCGCACATGAGGCTCCGCTGCAAGCTAGTCTGTTTACAGTCTTTAAACACTAATCGAGAGGAGGTCAGTGGACATGTTACCTTTCGATTATCCTGTAGCAGATGCAACAGATGTCTGTGCCAGTAAGCATCCAGCAGTTTAGGTTCCAGCTCAATAGACCTGGCAACAAAAGATACACCACATGAATGAAGGAAATTCCAAGAAACAATGAGTTATTCCATATAACCTCCAACGGTGTTTTGAGTTGTTGGAAGACCCGTATCCTTAATTAAGCCTTTTCAGGTTTTATTCTATTGGCTTAAAAATGCTTAAAATTGCTTCGAACTGCTACCATTAGAGAATCTACTCGTCCACGTATTCTCTGAGAGATAATCAACCATTTTTTTTCATGTAGGTGAAGTCTGCCAACTGGCCCGTCAGGCCGGCGCTCATATCCGGTTTCTGTAGCACGAAGCGACTAGGAGTATTTCTACTCCCCCCTGGTTGGGATGCTAGTCCATCGCAGGGTTACCCCCACTATTAATATGGCCGGTATCCATTCATACACCTTGGGTGGAGAGAGACACTGTGAGAGTTAAGTGTCTTATCCAAGAAAACAACACAATGCCCTCGGCCAGGGCTCAGACCTGAACCGCTCGCTCCGGAGTCGAGCGCACTAACCATGAGGCCACCGCTCCTCCAACTCGGGCTCATAATATGATTGTTGAATGCCACGGAGGAAGAAAGGGAGACAAGACCAGAACAACACGCGTGTATCAGCAAAATACTATAGATCCCTGTTACTTGTGTTTTACATGAGCTGTGAATTCATTCCCGTTCTCCTCTCACCTGTTTAAGTCATCCCACGCCCTCTTCAAATATCCGAGCTGCAGATGAAAAGAAAGCCCCATTCAAATTAGAACCACTAAGACTGTACAAATAGAACACAACTTATATAACAACGACGACCCACGTGGAACCCGACGTTTCTTAAGGCAGTAAGTGGCATCGCATTAAACAGTCAGTTCTGAAAGTCACGGAAGTTGCAACGCCATGATTACTGCGGATTTGAGCTGTATACTCTTTTTTGATACGAATATAGTTTTTCTAGCCTGCAAACGCAGACGCATTTTCGGCTGTCACTTGGTTCCGCCGAAAGGAACCAAGTGACAGCCGAAAATACGTCTGCGTTCGCAGGCTGTTGTTTTTCTGGCCTAGGCTAAAATTTATTATTTTTCTACCGATTTTAGGCTTAAAATATTCGTACGTGTGAATATTCTTAAATTATAGCATATGGCATTTATGATTTATTGACTTTGCTGGCGTTGAAGTAATTTTGAAGCCAGACTGCAGGTAATAAACCCTGTTATGACTTGTGCCTAGTTTTGCTGTTTAGAGAAAGGAAGAATTTTCACGGTTTAGTTCAAAACATATAACTGTATTGTGTTTACAAATTTTCAACACACAAAATCATACTCTTTTCAAAATCTCAGCCTCGGGTTTATTCTTAAAATATTCGTAAAATTTGGCAAATTTCAGCCTCAACATTGTTACAAAATATATTCTTATAATGAAAAAAGATCTAAAGTTGGTTATTTACCTTGCGTAAGACAGCACCTCTTCGGCATAAAAAGATAGCAGTAGACTCCGGTTTCTGTGTAGTTTCGAGCAAATCGGTTAGTCGTTCAACTTCCTCTTGAAGGGCCTATAGTACAAACAAAACCAAAACAGAACATTTGTAGATTTATAAATTTGGCTCAAGATGAAAAATGTTTATAAGAGTTTTTGCCAAGATGGATAAAGTTTCACTTACGTTGTACAGCTCCCGGTCTGAGCTTCTTATCTCAGGCTCGATCACTTGGATGTCTTCTAGTATATCGTTGTCTATAACAACGGCTGTGGACTTGCTGTGTGGAAACAAAACTGCGCTCTAAGATACCTTTAATCACACGTGCTATGCTATACTAGTAACACTAAGGCTTTTCAGTTAGTCTTGAATTAACTGCTGAATATTTTACTGTATGACTGAGAAAATGTCTTTATTGTGATTGGCTGAGAGCTGGCCAATTTATCGTGAAGTTTTAATTTGCACTGCAGTGCCGCAAATTAACGCGCGCGTGCGTATATTTTTCAGTCGTACAAGTAAAACTTCTGTCACATTACACTCGCGTAAAGGCTGGTGCAATTTTGAGACAATTTTCAACTATCGCTCTTGGTGTAAATTTACTACGTCTACAGTCATGTACGATTTCCTGTGGCCGGTTTTCATGTGACGTCATCATTTTCCAAAATCAAAAATTACCAATCCTTCTGAAGTTTTGATTTCATCGCATGTAAGACCCTCTAAGAACTTGACGTTTTACTAAAGGGTTCTTCGTTTTGTAATAGAAGACGTTTGAATTTCCAAGTTTATGCGCTGCATGACATTAAAATGGCGACCCGAGAAGTCTCTCGCGTGGGTCAAAAAATGAGTTATTGCTTAAGTTTTTACTAACTGAACTGTTATTTCACAAGAAGAACACTTCTTCGAATAACGCGCGAATGAAAAACCGCACAGACCTAAATCTTGGAGGGGTTGTGTATATATCATTCATCTATCATATTCCAGATTCTTTTTAGTTTTGATGGCGTAACAGTGAAAACCAGCTATACTAATTCAGTCTTACCTTTGCGAGTGTGGTCTGGGAGAAGTCAAACTCTGCAGATCAACTAGAGCACGAATTAAAAACAGTTAACAAGTCACTTTTGACTAAGGCAATGCAAAATATTTTGACTGCCAAAACGATCCTAACTCGACGGTTCCTTAAATCTATTCTGGCTTCAGAGTTTTATGTCCGGCCAGGTGGTAACCTTAGATAGGCCACACGTTGCGTTGCGTTACGCTAAGTTGCGTTACGTTGCTTTACGTTGCGTTACGTTGCGTTACGTTGCGATGCGTATTTTTTTCCCTGGACCAACGCAACGCAACGCAACGACTTTAGGTTAATTAAAGAGGAAAGCGTCAAAGTGAAAGTTCACCAGGTGAAATATTTGGCAATAATTGTTAGAGAGTCTGATATCAACTTACATTTGATTTCAGGAATAGCAGGAGTGGGTGGATAAACTTCATCGAACCACACATACCAAGTACGCTCACGAACTTCATCAAACAGTGCTTCACCAGACCTGTAGAATAGATTTTATTCACTTGTAGCTCACACAAAAACTGCTCCCCCCACCAACAAATAAAAAAAAAACATTTCCATGCTGCAAAATCCACAGAATACAAACAAAATGTTTTTTTTACTAACGAAAACGTTTCTAATAAGTGCGCCTACCCTGTAAACTCGTTTTTCATCATTTCGTCAAAGTCCAACAATGTTGGTTGGCTTTTTGCTTTTTCCAGGTCTGACCTGCGGAAAGCAGTTTCAAGTGAAAAATATACACGATTGGGAAATCTCGGTGCTGACAATCTATTATACTGTTGCATTCTTATTGTACCTTGTGCTGATGCTGATGCTTTCACTCCTCTGCGAAAACGTTTCTCTCTCTAAGTGTCTTATATCCGTGAACGACTTGTGTCTGCAAGACATAATTAACACTGACATGATTACATTGAGGAAATAAAGCAAATGGGAACATGGCCAATTCATCTAAGTCCCTAGTCATCCTTTTGCTTCACACATTATCAACTTTCTCACACCAGATGAACAACAGTCCTTACATTTTGAACCATAACTCTTGGTCTCCGAAACCACAAGTAGATGACAAAAACTCCCGGCTCAGAACAAGTTGGAGTAAAACCCGTGAAACTGTAACAACTTCTTTCTGTGTTTGTGCTTGTGTTTAGTTGTATTGTTTTGTCGTTATGCTTTGCAGCACAAGGGAGGTACATGTAGCGCTCGAAACATACCTTGAAATTTTCCTTGCTGGTTGATTCAAGAATTCTCTTATTGCCTGTTCTCTTTCCTAAGATAAATGAAAAGAGCTGTAGGTAAGAAGCTTCCACCAAAACAAGCAAACAAATAAACAAAGACATAAACAAAATTAATTTATAATCAATTTCGCCATTCAACGCCATGGAGAGATCAGAGTAAAGTAAGACATTTACATGTAAGTGGCCAGATGATCAACCAAAATTGTGATTAATCTTAAAATTTGCAAAAATAAAAAATGTACATACCAACTCCTTTTTTGTCTTTTTTCTTGTCTTTCTTTGAGGATGTCTCCTAATGAAATTATCGAACCAATACAGAAAAACGTTAAAACACTGTCTTGAATGTCACGCCTTGCCGATCATGTCACGTCATGTCACGTCACGACATCTTATCATCAATTCAACCCAACTTCTTTCCCTCTTTCATCTAGACTTCCACTCAAATAATAACAACTACAGTAATAACAACAGTAAAAAACAAACAAACAACATAACTTACCTACGACTTATAGGAACAGTTGTGCCTGTTTGTATTGACATGCTATCTCCAGCATCTGTCCTCCCCTCGTCAGTATCAAACTCATGTGACGTCCCCTGAAAATCTTGAGAACACGAACAGGAAGACAAATTAACAAAAACAAAATGTTATCATCATGGTAATTTTTAAATCTAGTTTTGTCAAAAAAATTAATTATACAGAACACTGTCATCTCATCAGGAATACATATGGAATAGAAATGCAAAAAGAGATAACAGACTGAAACAAACTAAAGCGTATTAACTTTGAGTTCTCTTTCATTTGCATTACTGATCAGCTCAACCATCAACTAAAAATGATCCACAAAATGATCCACAGAGAGTCTTCATGAATTATTTTAAGTTGAAAGTTTATGAGGCACGAAGCCCTTCCTTTCACAAAAAGTCATTAATTTTCTATCACGTATCATATTAACACTTGTATGATGTAAGCTGTAAACTAAATTTCACAATAACCTTGACATGACAATCTCACCCATTATGGTACTGTGTTCTGTTGGTGATGTCACAGTTGTTACTGAAAAAGGCTTTTCCTGAGTGAATATGAAACAAAGTAAGATACTAATTAAATAATAATCTTATTAAAAAAATAAAATATATATATTTAACTTTATTAGTACAGTCGAACCTCGATTATCCGTACCTCGATTATTCGGACTATTTCTTCCAGTCCCAACGAGTCCGGATAATCGAGGTTTGACTGTATACAGATATTAACTTGTCAGCTGTAAATTACAGGGTGAAATACATGTACAGGAGTGTACCTGAGAATGTTCCCTATCATCAGTTTGTTCTTTCTCCTGTTGTTTATCTTTGATTGCAGCAACCTGGTCACGTTGGTAATTCAACTGAAAAATATTAGACTTAACCATTAACATAACATAATTATATATGTCAGTGTTCCAGATAAGTGAGGGTTCTCAGGTCAAAAACCTCACAAGATCAGCTACATGTGATGACCCAACAAATTAACAGAAAATTTATAATTGATTTGGTGGAAGCAGCGGTAATTGATCCATTGGAAATCCTTTTAGACACCCTGCCTTGAAAACTGATCTGGAACCCTGCATGTATTACTGGACAATTTTATTTCTTTTCATGGGAGGCGTGGTGGCCCCATGGTTAGTGCACTCGTCTCCAGATCGAGTGGCCCGGGTTCGAGCCCTGGCCGGGGACACTGTGTTGTGTTCTTGGGCAAGACACTTTACTTCCACAGTGCCTCTCTCCACCCAGGTGTATAAATGGGTACCGGCGAACTTAATGCTGGAGGTAACCCTGCGATGGACTAGCATCCCATCCAGGGGGAAGTAGAAATACTCCTAGTCGCTTCATGCTACAGAAACCGGGATAAGCTCCGGCCTGATGGGCCACTTGGCTCGTATGCAGACTTTACCTTTTACCTTTACCTTTATTTCTTTTCACAGATATTTGTTAACATCAATATTCTGACTGGTCTTTCCAAACAACGTGAAGCAACAACTGAACAAGAAAGTATGACTGTCAATTTGACAAAAATAATTGAAGAATTCAACCCTTAATAGCTAACTTAATTCTGTAAAGGACTTTTGACTGATTACAATTAATTCATACTGTAAAACAATTTAATACATGTAACTGTACACTAATAAGCTTACAGTAACTTCAAGGTATTATCTCATTACCTCATTCATGCTGATGTCATACCCTGCAGGGACTATAAGACCCTTTTCACCAAGTGACAATGATGGATGTGACACTGACCTAAAATGGGGTCATTGCAATAGTAGTGAGGTATTGAAAAGAAGCCTTAACAGGATTGGCCAAAACTCACCATAAATAGATCTTTAAAGCTTGGGCAGTTTGTCACTCCATTTCAGACCATGTGATGATACTCTTGGGAATTTACACTTTTAAATTTTCAAATGGTCGCATGTATATGAATGAATACTTAATTATTTTTTTAGATGTGTAAAATAATATTCTCTAAAGAATATCATGTGGTCTGTAATCAGAGACGATGAACTGCCCAAGCTAAAAAGGTCTATCCAACAAAGACTAAAGGATAGGCAGGAAGGTGCGGTAGCAAAATGGTTAAGCATTCTGAGTCAAGTTGTTTAAAAACCAGTTAATGCTAACCCATGATTAAAAGTTAATCGAAGTATTAAATTTTCTTGTATAAAAATGTTTTTCCTTTCTATGTTTAGTGTGGTTTGAGATTACTCAAGCTAGAAACTGAAGGACAAACAAACAGAAATCCTCACTGAAAAGTTACAAAATCAAACTGAAATTGAAGAACCCAGTCAAGGAAGAACCAATTTGAAGAAACCGGTCAAGGACTCTGATTTGAAAGATCTGTGTTCAAATGTGTGCAACTAAATTTTCTTCTGTATCAGTCAATGGAAAAAAGACTCATGATTCCTGGAAAGTTTTTTTATTGGAGTATACCTGAAGATGGTGACACCTTCATCTTGGTCTTTCTGTGCAGCTGTACTTTCCATACCTCCATCTAGTTCAACATTGCTTTCTTCTGCATTATCTTGTTGTTTAATCTCCTGTCTTCTTTTGTCAAGCACTGACACAAATCTGGTTGGACTTGCAACTTAAAAAAAAAGTATTTAAAATTTAAACATGTGATTATTGTACACTGTTGTACATTGATCAATTGTTTATCCAACGTCATTTGTCTTGAAAGTGCATCAGAAATATAGCATGGTTCAATGCTGCAAATCTTAAAAGTTGCTATCTACACCCAAGGCAGGAAAGACATTTTGAAATCCAGTTGCCCAGTGGGCCAGTACATTTCAGTTTTCAGTTAAGTTGCCCCCACTAAAATATACTTGCCCAAAAGACACGCAGTGTTTGTGCCTTATCAACTAAATTAATCCATACTTTCAACTCATTGTTTTGCTCATTTTGTAGTCTTAAGTTTTGAAATTGTTTTTGATTAGAAATTATCACTAACAAGACTACTGAGGCTCATTTCACTTGCCAAGTGGACCACCAAATATCTATTTTCACTTGCCCAAGAACAAAATTTACTTGCCCTGGGCAATCGACTTGGGTTTTTTTCCTGCACTGGACACTGATGTGTTGTTTTTACAATCTTTGAATAGGACAGAGTGAACAGTGTTGCAAACATATCTAAATTGCACTGAATATTTTCTCAGGGTTTATGCTACCAAAAATAGATTCTGGCCTTCATGTATATACATGAACATTTTCAGAGCTTCTATTTATATTTATTGGACAAACGATATTGTCACTTCTACAATAATTTGTCAAGACACTGAACATGAGGTCAGGTCATGTTACCTTGTCCCTCTTGGCCGTCTGTCTGTGGGTCAAAACCATCCACTATGCCTCCTATATCAGTTTTTGGTCTTTGAACTTGGGTTTCAGCAACAAGCTTTCTCAGATCAGTCATGGACTCATGCATTCGACTGAGAACTCTGCAAAACAAAAAAGGAAATACATGGAACAAAGTCATGTGTGTGAGCTTGAACATCTATACATGTATGTGTACATGTACAGATACAGTATTGGGGGAGGGGGAGTAACTGGACTGAACAAAATGGTGCAAAACAGGATAGATAATGTAAACATAAAACAGTCCCAGTGTGAAGTCATGTACTATATGTGAGCTTGAACATTTATACATGGATATACAGATACAGTATGGGGGGGGGAGGTGTGGACTGAAGAAAATGGTGCATAACAGGATAGATGGTAAACGTAAAACAGCCCCACTGTGAGCTTAATTAATAGTGTTAAATCTAAATATGATTTTGAGAGTAAAGGTTGTACATGTACCAGATGGAAGAATGCCTAATCAGACAATTTTCTGTTTAGCTTCCTACCGATATATTCAAGACAACATAATGAGACTTTAAAATGGCTTCCAACAGGAAACCATATGCATCTAGAGAGAAACAAGATGAATCTTGAAAAAAACTGAGAATGATATGCTTCATGCGACAAGGTGATACGGTGTACTTGTAGTCCTTACTTTTGAGAAGTACATTGCACAGGCCATCAAAAAATACTCATTAAAATCAGGATACCTAGTTCTTAGTTAAAACCTTTCTAACCTAAATCAATAACCTTACTGTCAAGTGAGTACTGTACATACCTGTTCCTGGCCTTCAGGTCTTCGTCATCCAGGTCAGCCTCTGTTTCATCATTATCATCACTGTCTAGTCCCGTCACTGTGTGCAGTTCTGCTCCCAGGCTCTCCTGCAGCAAGGATGCACCATGGTACTCGGGATAAAGCTGCGACTTGATGGTTGCTGGGGCCAAGTTCATTTTAGGTGGAGCTGGAGTCCAGTAAAGTCTGCAACACAATGTATATATAACATCAGGGTTTCATTAACGTTTTCAGCAGGAGGGAAACTGGTTCAGCCAGGCAAAACTTTTTGAACAGAACTTCTTAATAAGAAAAAGTTTTTTCCAGATGGTCAAGCCAGGTGGGCAAAATCATCCTCACAGACAGTCAATTTGCCAGGTGTCCCACCGTTAATAAAACCCTTGTACAAAATAAAAATTACTGAACTGTAGTCCTAAGGTTCAATACATGTTTACTTCATACAAGCAATTACATGTACAAGGGCATGACCTTGAAGTATCCTCTTTTAGCTCCACTTTGACCCCAACAATGTCCAGAGATTCACCTGGTTCAGCTGAAAACTAAACCAAAAAAGACACAGCTTACAAACAATANGGATGAGGGATGTGTGGCTTGAAGAAAATGGTGCATAACAGGATAGAAGGTAAACTTAAAACAGCCCCACTGTGAGGTTAATTAATAGTATTAAATCTAAATATGATTTTGAATAAACTCCGAGTTTAAAGGTTGTACATGTACCAGATGGAAGAATGCCTATTCAGACAATTTTCTGTTTAGCTTCCCACCAATATATTAAAGACAACATAATGAGACTTGAAAATGGCCTCCAACAGGAAACCATATGCATCTAGAGAGTTCAAACAAGATGAATCTTGAAAAAAAAAATGAGAATGACATGCATCGTGTCAGTGTGACAAGGTGATATGGTGTACTTGTACCTTACTTTTGAGAAGTACAGTGCATAGGACATCAACAAATGCCTGTTAAAATCAGGATGTAAGTTAAAACCTAATTGTAACTTAAATCCGTACTCTAACTGTCATTAAAGTGAGTACATACCTGTTCCTGGCCTTCAAGTCTTCGTCATCCAAGTCAGCCTCTGTTTCATCATTATCATCACTGTCTAGTCCCGTCACTGTGTGCAGTTCTGCTCCCAGGCTCTCCTGCAGCAATGATGCACCATGGTACTCTGGTTATAGCTGTGACTTTATGGTTGCTGGGGCCATGTTCATTTTAGGTGGAGCTGGAGTCCAGTAAAGTCTGCCATATGAAGTATATAAAATCAGGGTTCATTAACATTTTCAGCAGGAGGGAAACTGGTTCTGACAGGTGGGCAAAACGTTTTGAACAGAACTTCTTTATAAGAAAAAGTTTGTTCCAGATGCTCAAACCAGGTGCGCAAAATCATCCTCACAGACAGTCCTAAGGTTCAATACATATTTACTTCATACAAGCAATTACTAGGGTGTTACCTTGAAGTATCCTCTTTTAGCTCCACTTTGACCCCAACAATGTCCAGAGATTCACCTGGTTCAGCTGAAAACTAAACCAAAAAAGACACAGCTTACAAACAATAATCATTAGCGATCTTTAGTTGCCACTTAAAATTTGAAACTAGTGAACACTCAGTGCATGTGTCAAGTCAGTGTATTGTTTGTTTGTTATTTGATTTACAGTTCAGCCTTTCCAAAGCAGTGAATGGAAAGCCATTACAAAAAAAATAATTTATGTAGAAAATACAGGATGTGGACCAAAGCATGAAAAAGAACTTGTAAACTCTTTCAATGATTAAAAATTCTTATCCTTAATTGTATGCAATTTATTTTGATGATGTTTCTTCAGGTGTCTTTTCAAAACATACTACATTGTACAGTTCATATAATCAGCAATTACA